TCTCCCGTATCATCAACTCAGCGTCGTTCCGTGGCCGGCCATAGCCCCCTATTGGCCCAGTACGTTTTGCGTGAATTGCCGACGTAGCGGCGAACAGAGAACTCCGGAATTCCGAAGGCCCAATCCAAGTACGTGGCGGCCTGCGCCACGTGGCGGCCCCCGACGGCCTAACTTTTCGGGACCACCTCCACCGCGGAGGGATTTCCCCGTAAACCGTCGCCCACAGTGCCCGGCCCCATCGGACCTTGAGTCCCTTGCGTACGCGCCCCTTATTCGCCTAATTGCATTCATACCCCTAAGACTCCCCCACTCTTCCAAAAAATCCTTGGCACACCCCCTTTTCGCACTTCCAGGCCCACATCCCACTCCGATCAGGAAGTCGAGCTGGGCGTGAGGTTGGTATTAGAGCCCGACACGTGGCTAGGGTCTTAGGATTGATAGCACGTTAATTAGGCGACCTAGCTAACCGAGGGCGACCTCACCCTCGGAACGCGCATAGACGCGACCCTATCGTCACCCGAAGCAGATCGGCTAACCGACGAGCAGCCAATATGGCTGCCAATGTGCAAAACCCGGTTCCGCAACAGAATGCTAACCCGCCAAATCAACCCGCCCCACGCGCACGAGCTCCCATGACGCCACCTGATCTCTATCTATTTGATCCAGCGCAGCATCTCGCAGGAGCATGGCTGGCCACACTTAGGGCCCAACAGTACACTGACAATGAAACGCAGATCAACATTCCCGCCCGATTGGGGGGAGACGCTCATCATTGGTTTAGCACCTACGTGTGGGTCGATCTCCCGACCTTCGAAAGGGATTTCATGAACCGATTTGTCTACGTTCACCCCGAGCAAGCGCTGTATATGATCAAGGACCGAGTGCAAAAACCTCTCGAATCCGTTGCAGAATATCGAAACCGGTTCTACAGAATGTTCGTAAAAACTGAGCGAGGTGAACCAGTAGGGAGAGACCTGTTCATTGACGGGCTTCGCAGCCGAACAATAAGGGCTAAGTTGCGAAAGCAATTTTCCCCCATCACTCACACGCTACAGCAAATCATGGCCGTCGCAGAAGAAATGGAACGGAAGTTCGCAGCGAACTTCCTGGAAGGAGAAGACTATCCTAGAGAAGGGGATTCGACCGAACTCGCACGAGCGAGGGCTGAGTTGGCTGCCTTGCAGAACAAGTTTGAAAACATGGGGTTTGTATCAGGACCTATCACCTACATGGAACAAATAGGCCCCAAACGAGTGATCCTAAGTGAGGTTCCGAGCACGTCCGCTCCTGCGATGCCCCCACCCGTACGGGCGTTACCCCCCCCACCAGTTGAGGCTCCCGCACGTACGAACGAATCAGCGGCCATTTTCGAACTAACCAAAACCTTGATTAGTTTGATCCAGGAAAGCAAAAAGGAGCAGCGAGAGCACAATGCTCGGTTGGAAGCCATGATGAGGAACATGCGGCCCATTGCGGTACGTGCCCCCCCGATGCAGCAAGGATTAGCCCCGGCACCTGCGCTCGGAGGAGTCGCAAATAACCTGAATGTCTGTTATGCCTGTCATCAGCCAGGACATCTAGCCCGTGATTGCCCCCACCGACCCCCACAACAGCGAATCGGGGTCGCACCTATGGTTGTGGCTCCCATCGCTAACGGACCTAGACGAGTCGGAGCCTTGATGGAAGAAGTAGAGGGTGGGGGAAGTGCCCTGGCCACCTCGGAAGAGGCCGCCGAGCTAATTCCGCTAGATCAATACGTATCACTGGGATATCCTGGGCTTGGAATGATCGGAACAATCAGACCAGCGCCACAACCGAAAGAGGTGGCGGAGTGGCGACCGTCTCTAGGAGAAATGGAGTTGGGAGGACCCACCTTCGTCACAGGAGAGATCGATGTATTAAACATCATCCGAGCCTTGGACCATCGGATTCCTCTTTCGATCGGTCACCTACTCTCGATCTCCGAGCAAGCCAACGAGCGAATGCTACAACATTGCAAGGCAAACCGAAAGCGATTCGCCCTCGCCCGAACACCAAATACAAAAGCCAAAGGCCCCGAGCCAGAAGAAAACCCCGCAAGCACTTCGGATCCGATACGGGTAGGTTTAATCCAGAAAGACGATCATTTCCTACGGATTAAACCAATTCCGTGGAAATCCGCAGAATGTGATATTGAAATTTGGGGAATTCCCTACAGCGCAATTATAGATTCGGGAGCAGTCGTGTTGGCGATCTCACTAAGAGTGGTCGAAAGGGCAGGTAGGAGAAACGATCTGATTATGCTCACTGAGAAAGATCAGCTCGTTTCGGCAGATGAGGAAAAAATCAAAACTGTGGGGAGAATGACCAATGTCGCCTTCCGATTAGGAAAAGTACACGCGCTCGGGGATGTCGTAGTATTAGACGTTAATACGTACGCATTCTTTTCGGACTTCCCGCTCTTGTCGCGTTACGAGCAAACCTGGACTTCGAACGACGATCGATCGTCCTCCGAAATACAGGAGGAAAAACCTATGCCGTGCCTATGCGATTGACCCTTCGCACTACCATTAACACGGTCCCGAGGGTTTCGCCGATGATGGCAGAGACTCTCCGCATGATCTCTTGGGATGAATCTGCAGACGGAAAGTCATCAACGAATGATGCGGACCGCAGTGACGAAGATGATCCGGAGATCTTGAAATTAGCACGACAACGCATTTACTACTCGCCGCCCAAAACGATAGCGAGAACGGTGCAACTAACCAGCCGAAAAATTCAAAGAACCAAGGCGATGATCTTGGGTGAGCCCCTCGTACAAATTTCGAGGATGGTCGATTCTTTGGAACCCCCTCAAACTCTGTACGAAGGAATCACCCCTCTCCTCGCCCGGTATAGCGACAAGAAGCATTATTGTGACATTACGGATCTACTCAAGTCCTTATTAACATTGGCTAAAGAAGTGAGATTGTTACGCTTGGGGGCGGAAGCAAGCTCTCTGGAACCCCCTGGGCGTTTCAAAGCAGAAACAGACGGACTGGCGATAAAGATCGCAACTAAGGAAGTGCCATGGCGGGATGTTTGTGACGGGATTACCCCGGAAGGACACGTGGCAATCCGAGAAGAAGATGCCCAGATGATGGCCACGGTGTTCTCCTGGCGATCGGACCATTCATTCATCTCAGCGCCCCCACCCGACTTGGCAAAACAGGCGAGCACGAAACAGATTGACGTTCGGATCGGGGATCAACTTTTTGAACTACACGTTCCACAGTACGTACCGGATGAAATCCACCGGGTGATTGCGGACATTCTAACGGAATATCAAGGAGTGATTAGTGTGACAGATACTGACATTGGGTTGTCGTTAGTAATCCAACATGAAATTCAGACAGGAAATCACTCCCCGATTCATTGCAAACCTTACCGGTACTCCCTGATTGAACGCAAAAAGACTCTCGAACGAATTTGGGAGTTCGAAGCCAGCGGCTGGATTGAACCCGCCACCGGACCTTGGTCCTTTCCCGTAGTGTTAGTACCGAAGAAAAACGGAGCGATTCGCATTTGCATTGATTATTGCAAGCTGAATGAAATCACGATCAAAGATGTGTATCCCCTCCCCCAGATTGATGATTTGTTGGATGCGATTGGATGCACTAATTATTTCAGTAAGTTTGATATTCGGCATGACTCCCATCATATTCTGGTTAAAGAGGAAGATCGGCCGAAGACGGCCTTTGTGTTGTTTGAGGGCATGTGGCAGTGGGTTCGGTGTCCAATGGGGATTTGCAATGCGCCGACCACGTTTCAGCGAGCGATGAACATGACATTCCAGAACTTCGTCAACAAGACACGGCTGACGCAAGGGATGATTAACTTCTGCGTGATCGTGTACATGGACGATATCCTGGTCTATTCGGAAACCTATCACGGACATGCGCAACACATCGAATGGATATTGGGCGCGTTGAGAGACGCTGGGTTCAAGATTGCGCTCGAGAAGAGCGAATTTTTCCTCTCGAAAATTTCGTTCTTGGGCTACATCGTGACACGTGGGGGATTGCGGTCGGACTTGAGAAAAGTTGCGGCGGTGAAAGAAGCCCCGGTTCCCACGTCACTGACGCAGGTTCGAGCCTTCTTGGGGCTGGCATCGTACTACCGGCGCTTCATCAAGGGTTTTGCCGCGATTGCACGACCACTAACGAATTTGTTACGAAAGGACCAGCCTCTGAGCTGGGACGCGGAGTGCCAGCAAGCCTTTGCAACTCTCAAAGACGCTCTGGCGACGACCCCTATTTTGATTCGGCCGGACCCCTCGAAGCAGTTCATTCTCATCACAGATTGGCAACCGGAATCTATTTCCGCTATTCTAGCGCAGAAGGAGAACGATGGTCGAGAACACGTCATCGAGTACGCGTCACACACCGTACCGTACGAACGAAGGAATGACTCGGCACCTCAAGGCGAATGCTACGCAGTAGTCTGGGGAATCCAACACTTCCATCCGTATCTCTACGGACAGAAGTTTTGCCTCGTGACAGATCACGAACCCTTGCTGGCGCTGAAGAAACTCACCAACTACACGCGCATGATTGGCCGTTGGGCGGTGCGACTGCAAGAATACGACTTCAATATCGTCCATCGAAAGACAGAGCGACACGGCAACTCGGACGGGCTGACACGTCTGCACCGACCTGCCAAGGTACCGAAGGGCGAGGAAATTACACCGTGGAAGGAGTCGGACTTGACCAACGAGCCGAAATACGGACAAGTGGCGGTTCTTCCACGTGACAAGAAGTAAAACGGTGGCGATGGGTGATGGAGGTAACCCCACTACCCCTCTCTCTCCCCCTTCCTCCTCGTCTCGCCTCTCCCTGCCTGACAAATTTTGCTATTTTTGCGAAGCTATCTCCCACATATACTCGGTCTCCATGTGTCCTAACAGGGAAGGGTATGTCGATTGGATAGATTGCCGACAGTGTGTCGCACGAGCCCATGGCTCGTGCATCCAATATAGAAACGATAGTAAACCGTGGTTGTGCCCCTTGTGCCGGACCGACAAGATTCCGACCGAGGCTCGCTTTTTGGATGCCATGTCAGAAGGGTTGGAAAAGACCCGGAAGTTTAGAAGGGCCGAAGTATGGACTGATATTGCCTTAATTGCCACCCTAGTAGGTAAACCCCCTCCAGGATTTCACCAAGGAAGATCGGAGGAGGGCCAACAAAAGGGCTCGGGATTACAGATGGATAGAGGGAAGATTAGAAAAACGAAAAACGAACGGCAGTGAGATTTGGATGGTGGTACCGCATCCGTTCATGCGGTATGACTGGGTTAAGACGGCCCACGAGGAAACTGCGGCCCATTTTGCCGTACGAATCACGGAGTCCGCTATCGACAAAAATGAGTGGTACTGGTCCAACATCCGCGGTGATGTGAAATACATTGTCGCCAACTGTCAAGTCAGCGCCGCTGATAAAGCGCCGATTCAACCACCAAGATCGATAGTGCTCACGGTTGTTGAACGGTCATTTCAAAGAGTGAGTATGGACACTACCGACATAGTGGTGCCCCCTGGCCCTAATAGTTGCGAATATTCAGTCCTATTGGTATTTGTCGACCATTTCTCGAAATGGATCGAAGCGTATCCTTGTCGCACACGACAAGCCACGGAAATCGCGGGATGCATCAGGATACGGAAGAGATCCTGACCGACAACGGGGCTGAATTCAGGGGAGAGGTATTAAAGAATCTGGCCATACACGGCGTCGCCATACGGAACACTGCACCCCACATGTCACAATCCAATGGGCTGGTCGAAAACGCTAACCGGGTGATAAAGACAGCATTGCGACGAAATATCGCAGCACGGGATCCAAGGCCCTGGCCCGATATCGTCGATCACATCCTGGTGGTCCATCGCGGAACGGCCCACGAATCGACGGGGCTAAGCCCCTTCCAATTAAGGACCAATAGCGTCGCTTGCGTTTCCATACCAAGCCTCCCGGATGAGTCTATATTGAACCGACGGCCCACCAGGGCCACGGCTAGGGACAAGGCCAAACGACACCTAGAGCTAATGGAACGGTCACTGCCCAGGCTAGCCCGAAAACGACAGAAAATGACCGAACTAGCCCAAGGCCGACAGGTCCGGAGCTATGAGGCCCGAAATGGGAATGCGGGTCCGTGGCCCCAGTACAAATTGGGGGACGTGGTGCAGGTGAGGAAATGTGCTCGCCAGGGTAAGCTAGCGCCACGATTCTTCGGGCAATATCGCGTGATCGAGCTCGCCCCCAACGGCGTGGACACCGTGCGTCTCGCCCCTGAAGTCTCTGGCAGCCGATCGGCTCGCCCGATCACACGCCACGTGTCCTACCTTCGCCTCCTCCCCTCTGCTCTGTCTCCTTCTCCCTCGATCTCTCTTTCGGAGGAAGCCGACGACGACGACTCTGACTCTCCGCCATCTCCCTCTTCCTCTTGCTCCCCCTCTGCCTCCCCGTCACCGTCGCCATCGCCATGAGTTTTCTGGAGGAGAGGGTCCTCAGCGAAGCAGCGCTTGCGCCCCGTGATCGATTGACGATCCGACAGGTCTATCATCCCTGCCTTAGTCCAGGTCTTCGGCGGCTTGCGCACTTCTTCTGCACGGAAGGCATGTACGCAGCAGCGGTATTCAGAATCGAAGGCCGGCCTGATGCGGTGGTACTGGCCGAAGTTTTAGCAGTCCACCAGCGAGCGGTGCCAGGGGTCAGCCGGATATCGGTCGTCATCAACTTCCGGGGCGATCTCTCCACGCTCCTTCCCCTACGGCATTCAGCGGTGAAGGCATCGCTGCGCGCGTGGGCAAACGACCTGGCCGCCGAGTGGACCCAGCTTCTGGCTCGTCCCGGAGATACAGTCGCAACGACACGAGCGATCGAATACGACGGCCTTCGGATGTATCAGCGCGAGCCGCCGACAGATCTCCCTGTCCTCGTTCCCTTCCCACGTCCCCAATGAGTCTCTCTCCAATCTCCATTTTTGATCTACCCTCCACCTTCCCCACCTTCTGGCAGTCCGACATCCATCCTCGCCTTTCCTATTGTCTAAAGCCCCTTGCTGTCCCCCTTCTCCATCCTCCCCATTGGGTCTTGTGGCGCGAAGATTTCGTCGACCTTTCACTGTGTTTGGTTGAGATACGGCTGACGTGGATCGAGGACGAAGCGCACCCGCCTTGCATAGAGCGCCTGGAGTTGCTGTTTATCCAGGCTTGGCGAACCAACGTGGAGGGAGAGCTTCTCGCGTTTTTATTCGGTACAGTGCGGCCCGGCCACCAGGAACTCATCACGCAAGAACTCACGATCCCGGTAGCACAGCTGGCGGACGATCTCCCTCTCGACATCATCTCGCAAGACGACGAGCATCCAGTTCCCCACGTACTTTCGCGCAAATTGACACCTTATCTTCAGTGGTCGGCTTGCGTAGAAGGAGCCGCAGAGCGCATCCCGCCGTCGCAGCAACAATACTTGGATCCCCGAACGATTCGCGATCCTGCCTTCTTCAAGCACCCTACACCAGAGCAGTTTGCTGCCATTCGAGAAGAAGAGGAGGAAGAAGAAAGCACCGGGAGTGACGAAGACGAAGACGTGCGAGAGGAAGGCGGGGATAGCGACGAAGAGCTCGGTGAGGAAGAAGAAACCCCCGAAGAGGGAAGCTATAGCGAGCATAGCGAAGGGGAACAGAGCGAAGAAGAAGAAGAAGACGAGGAAGGAGAAGAGGAGCACGAAGAAGAGCCTGCTGAATTGGAGTGGGAAGCCGTGCCGGAAGAAGTGCTGCGTACGGGTACAGAGGCAGAGGATCTCGAGGCGGCCGGCAAAAGAGAAGAGATCGCGGCCGGGAAAGAGTTGGAGCTCGCAAGCATGGCGATTCTGCAGATCCACGACGACCCGAACAGAGATCCGGAGCCGCCCCAACCTGAAGATGGCGACCTCGCGGCCACGACTCCGGCCCCATCAACGCGGCGACGGAGCCGATCCCCCTCCTCCCCAACCCGTCCCCTAGTTCTCCAACGTACCGATACGGGCGGTCGGCCTTCGTCCCCGATTACTCTCTCGCCTTCCCCTTGACTACCTCACCCTCCGCCAGCTCACCACCCCCATCACGTTCCCCTCCAATCCGTTTCCCCGCGACACCTTCCGCCACTTCTACACTGCTCGCCTCGCTATAGTGGTGCATCCCCACCCCTCCATTCGATGCGTCGTCCCAACCTTTTGCCTCCATGCCTTGCTCCTTAGTGCCGCGTGGCGCGGCCACAATATGATCGAGGTTTATTGCGTGATAACGGGGACCATCCCCGCATGCGAAGATCGCGATCGCTTCCGCGGGGCACTTTTCCGGACTCTCACCACCCTCTATCCCGATTATCTCGCGTCCCTCCCTCACACTGGCAACCGCTTCCCCCGCTTTCACCGCATTGTTCGTTACCAAGAGCTCCCGGAGACTGTAGCCGGAATGGAAAGTCTCCTGCCCCCGCTACCCATAAACCCTCCACCCCGCCATGCCGCCATGTACCGACTCCCTTTCCCCCTCCCGGTTAATTACTGAGGCAACAGGTAATGGACGCGTGTCGCGGCGACGACACGAGAAAGATCTCGTCCTTGGATCGTCGAGAGCCCAATCTGAGGAACTAGTAGAAGAGCAGTGTTGCCACGTTGGATGACGTCCACACGCAATCGAACGGTAAGTGGCACAAAGGGAAGTGCTCCGCGTATCGATCGATTAGAGAAATCGACACGTGTCAACAAGCAAGCAGGAGCTTGCTAATATTGGAACCCCCTGGGCGTCACATATGTGACGAACCACTTTCTGTAACGCGCGATTTTCTGCGCGGTTGCAACGAGGGGTCCTAAGATGGGAAGGTTGGGCCAATTACGGGAGATCGGGATCGGTGGAAAATTGCATCAGTACCCTTGCTTTTTGTCTTTTTCGTCGCTTCTTGTTGGATGA